AGGGGTGGTTTGCAAATTCAAAGTAAGCTAGATAAACATCTATTTTAAGAGTCTTATTGCTTCCTAAGAGTGAAAGTAGGTCTGAATTTTAAATCTTTTTTAAAAAAGATTTTATTTATTTATTTGTCAGAGATAGAGAGCTAGAGAGCACAAGCAGGGGAAGAGAGGCAGAGGCAGAGGGAGAAGCAGACTCCCCGCTGAGCAAGGAGCTCGATGCGGGGCTCGATCCCAGGACCCTGGGATCATGTCCTGAGCTAAAGGCAGACGCTTAACCTACTGAGCCACCCAGGCGTCCCTGAATTTTAATTCTTAACTCCAAGATAGGTAAACACTCCTGTTTCATACAAAACACCACAAAATTTAAAAGGTGGGCAGACTTCCCATTAGAAAATACCTCACTTATTCAACAATGAATATTAATGAACACTTATGAATTGTCGGGTACTCTACGAGGAGCTGTGAGTACAGGGTCAAACCCAATAGAATAAAACCCCTGTCTTTATAGAGCTCATGTAGCTTCTCATAAGGGCTTCTGGAATGAATTGAAACATTAACAAAGTGTTGATATGAACAAACTAATGTTCTTCACTAAACGGGTGAAACGGCAAATGTGATAAAAACTATAAATAAAAAAGTACTGCACAAAGGACGTCAGCAACCTTCTTTTCCTTCAGTGGAGCACCAAGATCCTTGACTCTCTTCACTGTTGTGTTGATTGTAATGAACAGAACTTTTCAATTCATTTGTCCTACAGAAAGCGTTGTTTTCTGGAAAACATCTTGCCAAACAAAAAAACAAACAAACAAACCCATCTTTCCTGGGGAGATTCAGACACGGAGCTGTAAAAGATCCTGGCAGGATGAGTGCTGAAGGAAGGGGATGTCAGCAACTGGAAAATGGCTTGGTTGCCAGAGGCTACATATGATGACATTAGGAGCCACAAGATGGAATTAGACTGAGGACATGTGCGGGTCTGGTTAAGCTCAAAACATCTAACAACACACCAGGAACTGATTACAGGACAGCCATCGTGGCAGCTGAATGCAACTTTTACTGTCTCTGGATGGAAGTCTGGTTTTGAAATCCAAAGTCTGGGGAAAGTGTGGAGAAATCATGACTACACTCCTCGGTGCTTTGCTCTGCTCCATCCACCCCACTCCTCAGTTCTGGTATGCAGCCCTGTCACAGAGTGCCTTCCCATTGGGAAGAGCTCCAACCTAGAACATCCCCATGGCTACAGGGGAAGAGGAAAGCAGAAGAGAAGCAGCAGGGGGAGAAGGAAGAAAAAAGGAAATACGTCTCTGCTTTGGAAGTGATCTGAAGGTTTGGATTGTGCTGGTAATTCTCAGCTGCTTCTGTCCTTAGACACGTCCCCCTCCCCGTCTGGGCACCTGGGCTCCCTTCTCCGTCTGGCACTAATCATCTCTACCAAACAGGGTTTGAATGGATGGATGGATAAAGAAGATGTGATACACACACACGCGCACACACACACACACTAGAATACTACTCAGCCATCAGAAAGAAATGAAATCTTGACATTTGCAATGACATGATTGGAACTAGAGCGTATTATGCTAAGTGAAATAAGTCAGTCAGAGAAAGACAGATACCATGATTTCACTCATAGGTGGAATTTAAGAAACAAAACAGATGAACATAGGGGAAGGGAAGGAAAAATAAAATAAGATAAAAACAGAGAGGGAGGCAAACCATAGAGACTCTTAACTATAGGAATTGCAAACTGAGTGTTGCTGGAGGGGGGTGGGTGAAGAGAAGGGGTAACTGGGTGAGGGGCATTAAGGAGGGCACTTGATCTAATGAGCACTGGGTGTTATATGTTAACTGATGAATCAGTAATTCTACTCCTGAAACTAATAATACACTATATGTTAACTAAATTGAATTTAAGTAGAAAATTTAAAAAAAGGAGTCAGTTGCTTTATGACCACTTTGTCCAAGTGGTGGTGGGTTGTGTTTTTTTCCTAAAAGTTCCCATTAATTTTGTCCTGCCTTAGGTTTGTTTTCCTTTCAGTGATGCGAGGCAAATAAATTCATTCGTTGCTCACGGGCAAAAGCAGCTTTAACAACGAGACAAAATCATCATTAGGCTGTGACGATGGTGGTTCACCGGTAAAATCTGCATTACTCCAGAAACACTCAGTGGGCCTTCCCTCTTGGTCATGAACACGCCCGTCTGCTTCTCTGGGCCCTCCGAGCACACCTCAGCCCAGGCCGAGGGCTCTTCCAAAAGCACATGCAAGGATAGAAGGCCACGTCGGAGAAGTGCTAAGGCTTGCTGCCTGATTTCTACTAAGTCCCCTCTGAGTTTGTTTGTTTTGACCCAGGCACATGTTTATTTTCGTAACTGAAGAGCTTATAATCCTGGACATGGAAAAGAAATACATTTTCTGTTTTCTAACCTACGGTTGTAGCTCATAGGTGGTTTGCCTACCTTGGTTCGAGCTACGTGTCATTATGCTACAAAATGGCCTGGCTCCTTTAAGAAGCCACACGTTGTAGACCCAGAATCAAGCTGAGTCATTCACCCTGAGAGAGAATTAGGAACAGCTGGGCAGCTACTGGAGGTAAAAGCAGAGACCGAAAAGGAACACACTGCCTCTCTAGGAAATGTTCCAGGGCCTCAAGCCCAATGTGGACGGGAAAGTTGCACAGGCACGTCCTGCTCATGAAGATGAGCCCCGTGCACCGTGGAGCAAGGACACCCCCTGTGTTACAGAGCGGACTCAGGCATCCTGCAGCCAGGCGCCAGCAGGGGTCACGTGAGTCAGCAAGCTGTCACTCCCTCCGAGTCTGCAGAGTTTGGGGGTCTGCGCATCCCCCTCCTCATAAAATTCAGTGGCTGCTGAACATCTCCTGGGGCCCTTGAAAAAGTCAGTTGCTACCGGTCAGAATGGCTAAAATGAACAACTCAGGAAATGGCAGATGTTGGCGAGGATGTGGAGAAAGGGGTGGGAATGCAAGCTGGTGCAGCCACCCCGGAAAACAGTAGGGAGGTTCCTCAAAAAGTGGAAAATAGAGCTACCTTATGACCCAGCAATTGCACTACTAGGGATTTACCCCAAAGGATACAAACATAGTGAGTCAAAGGGGCACCTACCCCAATGTTTATAGCAGCAATGTCCACAATAGCCAAACTATAGAAAGAGCCCAGATGTCCACTGACAGATGAATGGATAAAGAAGATGTGATACACACACACACACACTAGAATACTACTCAGCCATCAGAAAGAAATGAAATCTTTTTTTTTTTTAAAGATTTTATTTATTTATTTGAGAGAGAGAGAATGAGAGACAGAGAGCAGGAGAGGGAGAAGCAGACTCCCCGCCGAGCAGGGAGCCCGATGCGGGACTCGATCCCGGGACTCCAGGATCATGACCTGAGCCGAAGGCAGTCGCCCAACCAACTGAGCCACCCAGGCACCCCAAGAAATGAAATCTTGACATTTGCAATGACATGGTTGGAACTAGAGTGTATTATGCTAAGTGAAATAAGTCAGTCAGAGAAAGACAGATACCATGATTTCACTCATAGGTGGAATTTAAGAAACAAAACAGATGAACATAGGGGAAGGGAAGGAAAAATAAGATAAAAACAGAGAGGGAGGCAAACCATAGAGACTCTTAACTATAGGAAGCAAACTGAGTGTTGCTGGAGGGGGTGGGTGAAGAGAAGGGGTAACTGGGTGAGGGGCATTAAGGAGGGCACTTGATCTAATGAGCACTGGGTGTTATATGTTAACTGATGAATCAGTAATTCTCTCCTGAAACTAATAATACACTATATGTTAACTAAATTGAATTTAAGTAGAAAATTTAAAAAAAGGAGTCAGTTGCTTTATGGCCACTTTGTCCAAGTGACTGGAACCAGTTAGAGATGCACACTTCATCTCAGTGAGTTAAAGGATGACATTAAAAATTGTAAACTGATTACATGAAGAAAATAAGACATAGTATTGTCTCAAATGTGAAAAAGAGAGAATCTACAAATAATCAAAGACTAGGAGGACTAGTATTAAAGTCTAAAAGTGGTTATATCTGGGCTCTGGGCTTATGGGTCATTTTTATGTCCTATCTATTTATTCATATCTTTTATGTTATCCTTTACTTCTCAGTGTGGCACAAATTTCCACGCTCCATCCATCCTTTATTCAGTAAATACTCCCTGAGCACATATTGTGTGTTTGGCACCTTGTAGGGGAAGAAAGCTGAGCAAGTGCCAAGTCTTTACCTTGTTCTACCACCTCCCATGGGTCTGACAATCACCAGCCCTTCCTCCTGGATCAGATGGCTGAGGTTTTATTCCCTTCCCAGGGCGAGGGCCCCTTGCAGGTCCTATAGTGTTGGTTGTGCACTCTCTCAAATACAAGCAAGACTCCTTCCTGCCCTTCCTTCAGACCCTGCTCAGATGTCAGCATGTCAGGAAGGCCTTTTCTTTTCTTTTTTTTAACATTTTTTTTTAAGATTTTATTTATTTGAGAGAAGGTGAACGAGAGAGAGAGAGAGCACGCGCAGGGGGAGGGAGAGGAAGAAGCAGGCTCCCCACTGAGCAGGGAGCCCGATGCGGGGCTCAACCCCAGGACCCTGAGATCATGACCTGAGCTGAAGGCAGACACTTAACTGACTGAGCTACCCCGGCACCCCAGGAAGGCCTTTTCTGACCACCTGATATAATCATGCCCTTACCTGCTTTGATTTTCTTTATGACACTTGTCAATATGTATCTTTACAATATGTATATAGTTGAACACTGACTCCCACCAAAATGTGTTGTCTTTGAGGAGGGGTCTTCAGTCTTGTTCATTGCTACATCTCTACTGTCTAGACCATGCCTGGCACGTTGTGGGCAGTCAGTAAATTTGTTCTCTTCCTTAACAGAAAAGTTGTGATACGTGTTTTACATATATCAAGAATGAGTATCAATACAAAAATTCAGGTGTTAAGAAATACGGTGTCGGGCGCCTGGGTGGCTCAGTCGTTAAGCGTCTGCCTTCGGCTCGGGTCATGATCCCAGGGTCCTGGGATCGAGCCCCGCATCGGGCTCTCTGCTCTGTGGGAAGCCTGCTTCTCCCTCACCCACTCCCGCTGCTTGTGTTCCTGCTCTCGCTATCTCTGTCTCTGTCAAATATATAAATAAATAAAATCTTTAAAAAAAAAAAAAAAGAAATACGGTGTCTCTATTTTTTACAATATTTTTGAAATTCTGACTCCAACACTGCTGGGCCAGTAGAAAATATCATTTTAATTATTGTTCTGCTTCCGTCCCGACCCATTCTCAGGGGGCGGGGCTCTCAAGATTCCAGGAGTCTAAGGCAGTGACAAGAGCCTCTGCTAATTAACCCACCATGTTCTGTCTGCATGGTGCCTTCGTGCCTGATGGCCATCTACTGTTTCTGCACAGGGCTGAGAACATCAGTGCCTGTGGCCTCCGCTCCAGATGCTTCATCGAAAAGCTCTTTCTCTCTGGGGTCATGCTCCAACATGGCCCCGGCCAGAAAGCAGAACCCACAGAAATTGCTCCTCCCCACAACTGGAGGGATTTCCTTTTCATCTATTGTTTCCCCACCTGTTTTTCCAAGTCCCTAAAGCTTTTCTCAAAGTCTACCCTCTCCTTGGGCCTCCGGCTCTTAGAAAACAAAAGCCAGAATCCTTCTGCTTCTCATCTTGGCACTTACCTCCCTGAAGCAAAGGACATGGAGTCTGCTACCTGCTCAAGTGGGAAATGGAAAGGGAGAACTTCAAACGGCTTTGACACAAGTCAGAAGTGAACGTTACAGGATTGGGACACATAATTCAGAGAAGAAAGGGATTCCGCTGAGGCAGGGGTGGGAAGAGAGAAACCGAGGCAAACTGAAGACTTAAGGTATCTTGCCCTTGTGAGTGAGCCTGGGAGGCTGGGCAGTATTTCCTGTCATGGAGGGTGATGGATAGAAAGAGAGGCCCAAGCAAGGAGATATATTAGAGCTGGTGTAGAGCTGAAGGCAAATAATCTCGTCTGACCGGATGTGTTTGAGCCGTGGGAAAAGGAGTGCTTGCTGAGAGTGAGGGGAACAGTCCCTGGGTCACACTAGAGCTTGAACGTTGACACAGTTGGGAACAGCACTGGGGAACATAAAAAGAGTCCGTTCCTGAGGAACAAAAGAACAGATCCATGCAACTGCAAGTTTTCTCTCCGTAAATACAGAATCCTTGTTGTTGTTGTTGTTGTTGTTTTTAAGTTTGTTTGTTTTTTAATTTATTTGAGAGAGAGAGAGAGAGAGCATGAGCAAGGGAGAGGGGCAGAGGGAGAGGGAGAAGCAGACTCCCTGCTGAGCTGGGAGCCCAATGTGGGGTTCGATCCCAGGACATTGGGATTAGGGCCTGAGCCGAAGGTAGACACTTAACCAACCGACTGAACCCCCCAGGTGCCCCAATACAGAATCCTTTTATGGTGGCTTTCTGAAATCTCTCCAGGCAGACGTGAGAAGAAATAGCCTTTAAACCATATATCTGGTTTGAGGCATATATTAATTATATCATTCTCTGTGTTTTCTGCTAGACATTCTCTCTTCCTTACATGTTGTTATAGCATTCGTTAGAGCCTTCTTTTTTGGGAATCTGTTAAGATGCCAGAGTCCCTCAGCATTGTAAACCTGGAAAAGTAGCAGCTCTTCATGGCCAGCATTCCCGACTCCCGTGCTGTCTTTCCCGGCACTGAACTTCTGTTCCCAGAGAAGCTCATCTTCACCTGCTCTAGTGCTGGCTTGTTTTCTTTCCTGGGCGGCTTTGGGCGGAGTGGGGGAGACAGTTCATCACGAAGACCAGTGGCACTTGGGGCTTCAAGGTCACTGTTGGGTCTACGACTGGAGCAGGTGAGAAAGGGGGAGCCGAAAACCCACCTCACTCCAGGGTGGGTGCCATGCGCCGCCCTCCCCCCTCCGGTGGTGCAGGAACCCGTCTTCCTTTATCCCCTTTTATTCTTTCCAAGGTTTTCCACACCTCCCATGTCTCTTTAGATCTGGTGTTGTTTTTACTTGATGGTACCTCTGTTGGGGATTTAGGGATTTGTATGAAGTGGGAAGTAAGAAAGAACAACAGAAACCTCTCTACCTTCTTAGCCTTACTGATACTGTCTTCGATAAAAGGACTGCTACTGTCCTCATGATCCCATGAGAACTGTTGGTACTGGTATTTTTAAACCATCTGATTTCAGTATTCATACCTGGGCATATCCTAATAACATGGGATTATTGAATTCTTGTTCTCATCTTTGTAATGTTTCCAAGTTAAATATGTGACTATCAACTCTTTCCTCCAGCCCAAAGGAAAAGAAGTCCACCGAAAAGCTGGGAATCACAGAACATTTGGAATTGGGGGTTCAGAATTGCATGCTCCCTGGGCTGGAGCATCTTTCTCTTCTCTCTGACCATCCAGCAAAGGAAGAGGATGATCTAGAAGCAATGCTACATGGAGCTTGGTTTACTTATGAGGCCAAAAGAGAATTGCATTTCTCATTATGTAAGAAACTAGAGCTTAAAGACCTGTTCAGGTTGTAGCCTAACAAATGTGAAGATTTGTCAGGGGCACAAGGGGTATAGAGGGGGCTGTGTCTAATTAGAGATCCCTTTTCCTCTGTCCCTCATAACCTGGGAAAGTACATGCTGGTGAAATTTCATCCTGAACAAACTACCTCAGATCTCTCTCCACTATTCCCTCCACCCTGTCCAAGATAATCTCCATTTTCTAGTGCAACATCACTCCAAGCCTTTTTTTTTTTTTTATAGAATCCGCATATTTTTTCACTTTTGTTTATTTTTGCCCCAAAGCCTTTGGCCTTTCCCTTCAGTGAGTCACAGTATGGGACCATTTCAAAACGATCTGACAGGATGTTTCTCTTCCCAAGGGAGATGGGAAATGGGTAAATGACAGCCTATCCCAAGATGTTACCATGTTGCGTGCAGGGATTTTAATAAATTAATGGCATCTCACTTGCCACCAAAGCCACCTGATGGATGGACTTACAGGGAGACAGCCTTCTAGATCTTTCCCTGATTCCACAGAGATAAGATGGGAAAACTAAAACATGGTTGTTAGGGGTTTATTCATATCAGTTGATTATGGGAATCAGTCCTTTTACGTCCTCTGTTACAGAAGTTTAGGATAGGCATTTGAGAACTCAGATTTTGCAACAAAATAATTGAACTATCGGAGGTGGGAGGTTACAGATAAGAGGAGAGAAGGCAGAAGCAGGGCGTACTTGGACCCTCACCATCCCCTGCACTTAACGCTTATTCTTCAGGCCTTTGCCTCTGGAAAGCCTCCACCCTTCCGCCACTCAGTGTGGAAAACTCCTTCTCCCCAGACGTAGCCACTCCCTCTTCTCTGCTCTCAAAGGGCTTTGTACTTTCCTCTGTTAGAGTACTTGGCATTCTGGGATTATGGTCATGTGTGCAGTGGTCACCCATTTTGCCCCCATTTTGAGGGGCAGGGAAGTGGGCCAAATTTGTCTCGGTATCCTCACCACCCAGAACAGGTCCTGTCATATAGAAGGTCTAATAGGGCACATCCTAATATAAGGTGGTGAGTGTGTAGGGGCCGGGGATTCAGGGGCATTTCTGTTCCTAATGCTGACATGGGTATCAGCGTTTTCCTAATCTCTTCAGACAACACCCCTCCTCCCCTGTCCTTGGTTCTCTCAGCCTCCTATTTCCCTTTCCCCCTTTGATTCACATAAGAAAATATAAAGTATCAGTAAAAGTTACTAGATGTGTGTGTAAGTTTTGATTACAAATATTCATTGGGATATTAGGACAATTACCAGCATGTATTCTCACTGCATGTCAAAATGTGGAGGCTGGCTTTAATCTTTCTACTGAGCTTTGACTTCTGCATATGGTGGACATTTTTTTGGCTCTTGGCTGCCCAGCCCCCAGGCCCCCATTCTTCCAGTAACAATACTCTGGGTTTTTTTGGGGGGGGGTGTAATTATCTCCCCCCATTGGGTGCAGCCTTGGTGGTACTGAGTTCAAGGTAGCCCACTCTCCCTTGGCCTGGGATGAGTTATTAGTGGTCACCACTGTGTAGAGTGTAGGACTGGGGAGAGGAGGCTCTAACTTAATTTTTGCAATGAACAATTTGAAAATTAAAGATTTAAGAAAAAGAAAATATTTGCCCCAAAGATCTGGCTAGACACAGTGAATTTTCCTGGTAAACCCATTTGAACAGCAACCACAGGCCTGGTCTGTCCTCCTCGATTGCACAGGGCCCAGGGGAGTGCAGATAGCGCCACGTCACGCTCCCGAAGTTGCCAAAAATCCCTTGAAAATGATTGAACAGATGTTTTTTCTTGGGGTTGAGCGGATATACAACACAACAGCCTGCTTTCAATTCCAGGCTTGTTGTCTTAGGGGCCACAAAATCAATCCCTTTCAGGTTTGTTTTCTGAATGGTTTTTAAATCTTCAGAATTCTCATCACAAGAACCCTTACAGTATGCAAGAACACGACACACATCTGTGCGGGTCGCTGTGTTTCGTCCCGGGCTGCACACTTCCTGGGTGATGGTGGCATGGAACGGGCCTCCCCCAGTTGTCCTTGAAGCTGAGCTCAGCGAGAAGTGGTTTCTGAGCTTTAGAACCAGCAGTTCCAATGGCACGAAGACAGACACGGCCCCTGTATCATCCGCAGTAAGAGTGGGGGTCTTGTCATTCACCAGTAGAAAGGAAGAGGACGTTGGACTTCCTAAAATAAATTGGGGCTCAAGTCAAGCAGTTTGTCACAGGATGTGTCCTTGGGTGTCTGGCCTTCTATCTATCCTGTTTTTGGTGGCATGGGAAAAGACGATTGAAGAACTGCACATAAATAAATAATTAAATGACAGCTCTCAGTCCTTTTCAAAGAGTCATACTTTAAGTTTACGTTAGTTCCTCTTGGGTGCAGCAGATAATGCATCAAAATATTTCCAGGAATTTTGTTTACACAACTTTCAGAATAAATTGCATTTTTATTATTATTTTTGAAAGATTTTATTTATTTGACAGAGTCAGAGAGAGAGAGTGAGGGAGCAGAAGCAGGGGGAGCAGCAGAGGGAGAGGGAGAAGCAGCAGAGGGAGAGGGAGAAGCTCCCCGCTGAGCAGGGAGCCCGACTATGCGGGGCTCGATTCCAGGACCCTGAGATCATGACCTGAGCTGAAGGCAGACACTTAACCGACTGAGCCACCCAGGTGCCCCTAAAGCACATTTTTAATGAGGATACACACTTCCTGACCCCAAGTGGGTCACTGACACTTATCTGTCATATCATCAGTTGAGAAAGAAGTTGGGGATCAGGAGGCAGTATGTCTCTTGAGTGGAGAGAGGATGGAGTTGAAGGAGAGACACCCGGCTTTGCATCTGGACTGGCCTGCCAGTGGCTGTGGAGACTCAGCCAATCTTGCTGTATCGATGAGTTGCACGACCTCATCTGTGGAATGGGAAAACCATTTCCCTGGTGATGTCTTGGTGAACCTCTGGTGCATTTTAGGGGCTTAGAAAGGATAGCTGTTATTATTACCTCTGATTTCACAGAATTAGGTATAGACAGCTCAAACAGACCCCTGTTTTGTCATGTGGGAACAACTCAGGGGTCAAGGCTGGGCGTTGCAGACCTACCACATGGGCCTCCCAATAGACAAGCCCATTGCAACAGAAGTGCTTTTCTGCGTCCTGACAGTTGCAACCCAAAGGTCAAATGATCTCACTCCCTGCTCCCGGTGGAGCATTCAGCACGCCTCCTTTGCCCTGCAGCCCTGCTTTCTCTGCACAGTGTGGCTGGGGAAGGCAGTGGCTGACTTTGTTCCTAATTCCGGGTCCTGCAGAATTCTGGCTTTCTCTGGTCACAGCCAGCATGCGGCCAGTCTCCCTCTTTTACCTCCTCCAACCCCTCCTTTTCACGAATTTCTGGCACCTTCATCACTCCACTGTCAGGCTGCCCGGGAAACCTGAACACTCCTTCTGGGATTTCGCTGAGCAGATTTAGTCCATCGGGACCTATTTCAGGACTCTGCCTCTATGGCAAAATGACCCAAGGGGCAGTTCTTTCCCTGAGATTCTGGGGCCACTTATATATATATACACACACATATGTACTGTATGTTATATATATATTTATATGTATTTATATTTATATATAATGTGTGCATATATATATGTAACATAAGCATAAAACTTAAAACATAAATATAAAACAAAAAACATAAAAATCCTAAGTCTTCCTCACACCCACCAATAACACCCAGTCCTTCCTCCCCTACTGCTATTAGTTTCTTATTTATCTTTCCAGAGGCACTTACCCTTTACAAAATTTCTGTGCTTCTCTCCCTCCCTTCCTCCTTCTTTTATTTATTTAATTTCCCTTCCTTCCTTTCTTATAAATGAAAGCGTGCTGTATTGTTCTATGCCGTACTTTTTAGAAAAGATTTATTTATTTTTATTTTTAAAAAAGATTTATTTATTTTTAGAGTGTGAGTTGGGCGGGGGAGGGTGGAAGGAGAGGGAGAGAGAGTCTTTAGCAGACTCCCTGCTGGGCCTGAGATCAGGACAAGAGATCACCATCTGAGCTGAAATGAAGAGTTGGTGACTTAACCGAGTGCCCCCCCCACCCCCCCACCCCCGGCACCTCGCATGCCTTGCTTTTTCAAATTTTTTTTTATGTTATGTTAATCACCATACATCATTAGTTTTTGATGTAGTGTTTCATGATTGTTTGCGTATAACACCCAGTGCTCCATGCAGTACATGCCCTCCTTAATACCCATCACCAGGCTAACCCATCCTCCCACTCCCCTCCCCTTTAGAACCCTCAGTTTGTTTCTCAGAGTCCAGTCTCTCATGGTTCGTCTCCCCCTCCGATGTCTCCCCCTTCATTTTTCCCTTCCTGCTATCTTCTTCTTTTTTTTAACCTATAATGTATTATTTGTTTCAGAGGTACAGGTCTGTGATAGACATTGGGGAGGGTATGTGCTATGGTGAGCGCTGTGAATTGTGTTAAGACTTTTGAATCACATGCCTTGCGTTTTTAACTTAACCAAATCGGTACATACTGTAAGGCCACTGTCAAATGTGGACTTTTCCTGTCCTCTCAAACAGTGCTCTCCCAATCTTTATGTATCACGCCGTCATTTAAAAACTGCTGGAGGCATATCAAAAAAATATAATTATTCATTCATTTATAGAGTATAATCACACCACTACTGTGCTAATAACATTTACATTATAAAAGTCATCAAAATAGAAATTTTAAAATGATAAAGATGAAATTTTACATACTAAATTTTTAAAAACTGTATTTGATTTTTAGTAATACAAAGTATTTTTGCTCCCTAAAATATTACTGTTGATATTTTTAACAGGATCAATGTGTTGCATATGCTGTGTCATATTTGAAAAATCTTGGGTCACCCTTTTGTGATACAGCAATTCAAGTTCTGGTTATATGTTCACTTCACTTCGACGCTTGGCTTCAAAGTCCATCAGAGCTGAAGCAGACACTTTACAGATGGAGATACATAGATCCAAATGGAAGAAAGGCCTCATTCGATGAGCTTTATTAACTCCCCACACTCATTTTTCAATCCTATCTTTTGCGCAAAGACATTTGTTGAAATTTTCCTTGATTTAAGGTTTTTGTTCTTCGTCATGTGCAACAAAGTAAATGGAAACATTTCTAAACACCTGTTTTCAAAATGTTCTTGCCATAGGTTGAGTTTCTTTTGAAGAGAAATGACTTTTTCACTGTTAGAGTGCTACTTCAACCTTGAAAGGACAGATTGTGGGTTTACTCTTTGTGTATGTATGTATGTATTTTTGTGTGTATTTACTTTTAAAAACAGTATGTGCTAGATGCCATACTAAAAATATCCACTTGCCATGACGGAAAATGACAGCTCCTCTGCAAACACTTGTCCTTTTGTCAAAGAAAGAATGCACGACTCATTCCCAGGTTCTGCAGCTCCTTTAAATACACTGCCATGAGATGACCAGCGAGGTACCTGAGGCTGACCTGCCATTCCCCATTGCAAGGCAAAGCGCTATAAAGATCCTACAATTTGAAGGCTTTGTTTTTATGAAATTAATCCCATCTGATGGTATCCTATAAGCATGGAAGTTGCAACTGGCAATAGGCAAGACCCAGAACCAGGAGAAGGTCCCTCCCCTCTCCTCTCTGCATCTCCCTCTCTGTGTGTACGTTGCTCATGGTGATGGCAGCCATGTGAGACATCAGACTGTCTCATGTTCGGATCAAGAGGTGGCATCTTAACGGATTGTCTTGAGTGTCCCATGGAAGGTGTGTGTACCCCACATGAAGATTCTCTACACAAGGACTCTTCTCCAAGTGAATTCAAAAACTTGTTTTCCTTTAGTCTCTGAAATACTCTTCCCTCCCTTTTAAAGTAAAATACCAGCCAGATTTAGTCTCCACAGGACTATACCCTCAGGGGAGTTGGCTAGGGTTGCTCTGGGAAGACTTGGCAGGTTGTCCCTGGGACTGTCCTATGCCTGGGGCAGCAAGATGATAAACATGACGGCATCTACAACTTCTGTTTATTGGGCTATTATTTTGTGTGGGTCCCTACTCTGTTTCATAAATACAGTCGGTTCTCTTTGTTCATTCTAATTCTCTTCTTTTTTTTTTTTTAAAGATTTTATTTATTTATTTGAGAGAGAGAGAATGAGAGAGAGCGAGTACATGAGAGGGGGGAGGGTCAGAGGGAGAAGCAGACTCCCTGCTGAGCAGGGAGCCCGATGCGGGACTCGATCCTGGGACTCCGGGATCATGACCTGAGCTGAAGGCAGTTGCTTAACCAACTGAGCCACCCAGGCGCCCCCATTCTAGTTCTCTTCTATAACATCTCCCCAAATACTGAATTGGTGAATTCTGAACCATTGCTCCTAGGGGAAATATAGGATGTGGTTCCTACTAGCCTCTGGTCACAACATTTTTGTCAACCGGTTAGTACATAACTTTGTTTTATGTGTGTTTCTGTTTAAGGATTTTATTTATTTTAAAGAGAGAGGGAGCATGAGTGGGGGAGGGGCAGAGGGAGAGGGAGAGAGAATCCCAAGCAGACTCCTTGCCGAGCGCAGAGCCCAACGCAGGGCTTGATCCACAACCCTGAGATCATGACCTGAGCGAAAACCAAGAGTCAGATGCTTAACTGACTGAGCCACCCAAGCGCCCCATGTGTGTTTCTGTTTAAAGAAACCTTATAAAATATATGTTGTTGCTTTATTAATATTGAATTCATGGCCAACAGCACTATAACTTGTGCTTGAATGAAGACTATCTAACAAATGTACTTTCTCCATAAGGCACACCACAGCCCTCTTGCACTGAGGAACTCCAGACAGTAGTTCAGCACTGTTTAGGAGCCCTTTTAAATAAAAAAAGTACCAATAAAAAGCACAAAAATGCAGAAAAATGTGGCACTAAATAGACTACAAAAAGAACACCTGTTTGACCGTGGCTGAGAATGTGCACATTGGGCAACTCACATTTTTTCATCACTCTGCCCATGTTCGCAAAGGACCACACAAGTGAGCAAGTATTGATTTTGGGGTTACAAATAAATTTTAGTGAATAGGTGATACAAATATGGAATCTAATGAAGATCGACTATAATATCTCATGGTACCCTTGTGGAATAGATACTAGTACAATGATACGTGAACTGAAAGGAACCTCAGGAGTCTCTGTCTTCTTTGAGACTTTGGGAAGCTAGGACAGTGAAGTGACTTACCCCAAAATGTCCAGGGCACACACATGGCACTAAACTCCTGCTCTCCCAGCCACAGGTGGTGCCCTTTCCACTGCATATTTTTGGGACCAAATGCAACAGTTTAAATGGCAGGTGGGGCTATATGCAAAACTCTTCACACATTCCCCCTAGCTTATTCTCTGTGATAATTAAAATCTGTTTTTGATCAGAATGTTTGATTTTATGTCTGGTAGTATAGGGGCACAGTGAGAGATATCTATTTAAAAAAAAAAAAAAACCACAAAGGGAGATCACAAACCTGAATGAAATCAGGCACAAAATGAGAAATTAAAAGAACCCAAAATATTTGCAGCAAGAACAGGCTTTGACTTTTCAAATTTAGTTCTCCAGTGAGCCAATTCATAAATGGGTAAAATGAGGGAGAAATGATGTTGAAAAAGCCAAACATGCTGGGGAATTTCAGAGGTGAGAGCACGTGTTGCATAAACAGGAGAGATGTGCCAAAACGGGGGTATTTTAGTTGGAAAATTACTAATGTATGCATATTTATAAATATATGTATTTTGATGCCAGATTGTCTCAAATTTTCAACAATTATACAAAATCAGTTTCTTCCTTATTTGGCTTAAAGAAGTACAGAATTTAAAATGGCTCATAACTAATGCAGCCTGCAGGCTGTTTGATAAACGTGTACACTTGAAATGAGCCAACACACTGCAAAACCAAAAAGCAAAAAACAAAGAAAGACAAGACAAAGATTCAGTGTGTTCTTTGAGTAAGAACCTCTGCGTATCACCAATTGGTACATTATTACTTTTATATATAAGATTTCTATTTCAAAGAATTCCAAGCTACCTTTCTTGCTAAGATTCTCCACATTCCAAAGTCTTGCCCACCACTATTATGACTGCACCCATTCCTCTGTAGTGATAATTAGATGCTCTTACCCAATGTACTTACCAAACACTTTCATATGCATACTATGAGACAGACTCTTCTGTTATTTACAGAACAGGATGCTCTTACAACTTTATCCACTTACTGCACTTACTCTTAGAAGGAATTAAAAATTCCCATTCAGGGCCTCAACCTTCCATATATCCCCTTGTATCTGAAACAGCGTCTCAGAATCCATTCTTCCCATCCGTTAAGTTAGAAGAGGTCATTCTTACTCATGAGTAGCATTTTCTTAAAGTTAATTTTGTAATGAACCCTCTCCCCCAAAACAGAACCTTCCTTGTTTCAAGGATAAATTTTTATTGATGGGAAACATTTTAAAGATATAAAAAGATAATTTTCTTATTTATAGGACAGTTTCCATTTTGGAAATTTTCTTCTCAAAGATTAAAACCCCTCGATGTTCTTTCTTTTAGGAAAGCAGTTTATCCGTCAATAAGGATCCCATCCTCTCTCAAAAATGAATCGATTAATCATGTCAAAAGATCTCAGAGGCTGGTCATAGGGTAAAATGTGTCCTCCACCTCGAACAATTACCTTAGAGAAGAAAAAGAAAAGTTTAGAGAAATGGATGTTCTACATGAATGGAAAGTTTTAGTTCAGATTGAAGTATTCTTAAAGCTTCCATGAAATACAGAACATATTCTATATCAATCCATGCCTTTGGATATGCTGATTGTCTAAGTTTTGATAGCTTTAATTATAGGTACTTTAAGGTAGGAAAGGTTTACACTTGTGTGGTTGTTTAATTTAACAAAAAGATGTGTTTATCTTTCACATTTATGGAAACTTGAAAATTGTCTTTTTCCTTTTGGGAGTGAGCTGTCTGCTAGTCCGTGCTGTGTTATTCGTCCCTGGTGAAGCCCCTAAGGTGTGAAGACCTATCCTGGGGCCCTCTCTGCCACCCCAGCTGGGTGAAGGAATCCACCCACCTCCCCCTTCAGTCTGCTGAGCCACGTGGCCTTCATACTGAGCTCTACCTGCCATATTAGTCTTGGCCATTAATACAGGGGATATTTTGATTCTCCAAAAAATTAAAACGACAAACATGAGAAATCCTTGACACCTGAAATTTTTAAAAGGCCATTTTTTTGAGTAGCACAGAATTAGAACATTCTTTTTTCCTAACATTTTATTCTGGAAAAAAATTCAAACATAGAGCAAATCTGAAAGAATTTCATAGACTTACCGCTTAGATTCTCTCATTAACACCCACTTTACTCATTTTCTCACACTATCCAACTATTAATCCATCCTATCTTTTTGATACATTTCGAAGTCAAATATGGTTATCAGTCGACTTCCCCCAGATTTTATGTCAAATTAACACACAATGAAATGTAGTTCTGTTAAAGTGCAGACTCGCTGAGGTTTGTATAGTAGCGGATACCTGGGTCACCTAACAAGATACATACAGCATTCTGAAACACCTAGAGTTAAGGTGAGTTCAGACCCTTGTGCTTGGTGCCATACTGATAAAAAAGAAAAAAAATAAAAGCAAGGGCAGGGTCGGGGGGACTCATCTCTGTATTCGGAAAGCCTCTGCTTTCAGCAGACGTCCCAAGTAGAGGGCAAGGGGAGGCCTTCGTGATTCAACACCGAAAGGGAAAGAACCGACACAGTGTTGGCAGGCCCCCTGCAGGAGAGAGCGGTGTGGTCCGCCACGTCCTATGGCATATGTGGAAAATGGGCAGGAGTTAGTAGTGGATGAAGGAGCAAACACAGGCAGGAAAGGGATCACATTCAGTAAGTTCTAGCTGTTAAATCACAATCAGCAAGTAAAGGCCCCTTTGACAAGGCCCTTCATAGCTTGTTTTACCTGCCTCAATCAGAAAGGAATTGAGACAGAAGAAAACTACACATATATTTACATAGTGCATTTAATATATTAATAATCTACCCCCAACACCCAGCGTCTTATGACCTTGCTATGCAGTAAGTGGGATCATGAGGATTAGATGAATTTTGCTTTGCAGCTCACAGCTACACAAGTTGTGCACTGCACAACTAACTGCAGAGAGCACTAGCAACCTCGGTGACTGAGTGATATGGAGTTATTAGGAGGCTTGTCCAAGTCACCCAATTATAACCGAGAGAATGAGCTGGCACCTGGCTTTCGATGCACACACCAGTGTTTTTATTCAAATCCTAGTATTTGTATAATAATTCTTTACATTTGAACCAAACTTTATAGCTTAGTCATAGGACATTTCACCTGGCTCTCAGCAGCCCTCTGAGGCAAGTAAGGGAAGTAGACCACCATTACAGATGTGAAATTGGACTTAACCCTCCCACGCAATTGGAAACACCTGCTGGATGGCACACCCATCAATGGCCATTTGTGCCTTAGAGAAATGGATGTTCTACATGAATGGAAAGTTTTAGTTCAGATTGAACTAAATGACAGAGGAGCCCGTCTGCTATTTGCGTACAAGCTTGTGTCTGGAAACCCAATGTGTCTCACTTTGTCACGGACTGGAAGTCAACCTATGTGTGACATGAGCCCCTGCATGTGACTCTATAAAAACTTTTGTTGCCCCCACAGTCCCAGGCTAGAATTCTCTTCCTGTAGGTTCTCATCCAAATCTCCGGCTCTGGCAGGAATCTGATGAGTGATTCTATGCAACTTCAGCTCAGCTAAGGACACTTAAGGAAGTCATGTTCGTGACAAAACCCAGCTGCTGCCTCCACTGGAAATGAACCTGGCAGCAATGGTCCAGAGCAGCAGTAAGCTGAATCCAAGAGCTAATGGTCATCCTGTCTCCTGGGCCAGAGCTGCAGCTAATGGGGGGTAACATAGTGCTTTATGGCCTGGGCCTGGACTCAGGAGGGCAGGAGCACGACTCGAGGCACAGCAAGCTGTGTGACCCTGGGCAAATAACTTACCTGCTCTGAGCCTCAGTTTCCTTCACTGTACAACAGAGAAAAAAGTATTACCTCTTGGGATAGTTGGGAATTACGGGAGCAATCAATTAGTGGAATGATGTACACGGAACACTTAGCATAGCACCTGGATGGTACTCAATAAATATTAACCATTGTCATTATTCTTTCAACAGTTATCTCTACTCAAAACCCAGGATCAAAATGCTTGTATCAAACTACCCTAAAACACTGTGTTCCTATGTTAGCATTAAGAAATCTTGGGGGGCACCTGGGTGGCTCAGTTGGTCTGCCTTGGCTCAGGTCATGATTCCAGCACCCTGAGATCAAGCCCCGCGTCGGGGTCCCTGCTCGGTGGGAACCTGCTTCTCCTTCTCCCTCTGCCTGCTCCTCTGCCTTGTTGTGCTCACTCTCTGTCAAATAAATAAATGAAATCTTAAAAAAAAAAAAGAAATCTTGGTTTCAGGGAGTTGTTTAAAACAGAGGTTCTCAGACTAGAATGTGCATCATAACACCTGAGCTCCTTAGAACAGACTGCTGGGCCGCACCCCTAGACTTTCCAGCACTGAAGGTCCAGGGCAGGGCCTGATAATTTGCATTTCTAACAATTCTAAGGTGATGCTGATGCTGTTGGTCCAAAGACTACTCTTTGAAAACCGTTGTTTGTAAGAACCTTTTCCATTCTGTGACAAACCAGGTAATTCTCTATTTGTATCAAGGGAGAATACAAACAGAAATTTGTTTAACACCTACTCATGGCCTCACGTTAGTGTATTTCTCCTGATCATCTACTTTCCTGGTATTTACACACACACACACACACACATACACATTCTATGACCGTGATAAGTGGTGAACAAGAGGTGATAAGGTTGGGTATTACAATTCTTCTCAGTAACCTGCCTGACCCCCAGTCCATTTCTGAGCTGCCATATGTAATGACCAAATGTCATCATGAACGGTGTCATTAAGATTGGAAAGAAAAGCTCATTTGGGAACAAAGTCTTTTTCACACACCACAAAATTCTAAGGTATGTTCCCTAGCATACTGACAGCATTTTACCGATGTTAACCTCAAATAAATTTATGAGTGCTGGAAAAAAAACAAAAAACCAATCTGTTGTTTATCGCCAAGCTGCTCACCACTCACAAATCAAGGTCACAAACCACTCCATGGTTTTTAGAGGTGTGTAACAAAATGTGACAGGGCTGTGATTTTGTATTTAAATGTGACAAGATTCATCCAAGGCTCCCTGGATAGAAATGGTCTCATCATCAGAAACTGTATATGTTGGGTGTTTCCACATGAGAGCTCAAACCTCTAAACTCATGTATTCCAGATGTTCTGGGGGGTCAACAGATGTGTCATGAATTTTAAAAGGGTTATGCAAACACTTTAAAGCTTCATTCCACTTTATTTTTTTAGAAAAAGATACAATCCTCCCTGGAACCGGAAACATGGACCTGGCAGCAAAGGTCTCCCAGTTGTGCTGTTAGAGGTGGTAAGATAGACAGGGAAATTCACACTGGGAGTGTGGGTGCAGCTCTGTGGGGGAGACTTGGTGGGGGTCTTGCAGGAGCAGATGTCTGGACTTTCTCTGTCACTTAGCATAATCTCCTCCAGTTCTATCCATGTTGATGCAAATGTTGGGTATTGATCCTTTCTGATGGTTGAGTAATATTGGTTGAAGGGCATCTTGGCTCCTTCCACAGTTTGGCTATTGTGGACATTGCTGCTATGAACACTGGGGTGCATGTGGCCCTTCTTTTCACTACATTTGTATCTTTGGGGTAAATACCCAGTAGTGCAGTTGCTGGGCCATAGGCTACCTCTATTTTTAACTTTTTGAGGAACAGTAATCAGACAACAAAAAGAAATAAAAGATATTCAAATTGGCAAAGAAGAAGTCAAACTCTCTCTCTTTGCAGATGACATGATACTTTATGTGGAAAACCCAAAAGACTCCACCCCCAAATTACTAGAACTCATACAGCAATTCAGTAATGTGGCAGGATACAAAATCAGTGCACAGAAATCAGTTGCTTTCCTGTACACTAACAATGTAACTGTAGAAAGATAAATTAGGGAATTGATTCCATTTACAATAGCACCAAAAACCGTAAGATACCTCGGAATAAACCTAACCAAAGAGGTAAAGGATCTATACTCCAGAAACTACAGAACACTTATGAAAGAAATTGAAGAAGACACAAAAAGATAGAAAAACATTCCATGCTCATGGATCGGAAGAATAAACATTGTTAAAATGTCTATGCTACCAGAGCAATCTATACTTTCAATGCCATCCCGATCAAAATACCAACGGCATTTTTCAAAGTGCTGGAACAAACAATCCTAAAATTTGTATGGAACCAGAAAAGACCCTGAATCGCCAAGGAAATGTTGAAAAAGAAAAACAAAGCTGAGGGCATCACGTTGCCTGATTTCAAGCTATATTACAAAGCTGTGATCGCCAAGACAGCATGGTACTGGCACAAAAACAGACACATAGATCAATGGAACAGAATAGAGAGCCCAGATATGGACCTTCAACAATATGGTCAACTAATCTTCAACAAAGCAGGAAAAAATATGCAATGGAAAAAAGACAGCCTCTTCAATAAATGGTGCTGGGAAAATTGGACACCTATAT